AGCTGTAGAGGGCAGTGTCACTGGCCCTCATATGTGGAATCCGAACCGGGGCCCTCTGGCATCCCAAGCCAGTTCTTAACCATCGCGCCACTCGGCCGGCCCTTAGTTTTTTTATTACCACGAGGTCGAGAATTTTTTTCATGTTTATCAACCATTGTATTTCTTCAGTAGATGTCTTGGTCATTGGCCTTTGCAGTCTCTTCTAGTGGACTGTTTGTAGCACCCCTTTTGGCTTGCAGATGTTCTCATTGTAGAGTGAATTGATCCTCTCTCTATTGCGTCTATTGCAAATATTTTATTTCATCCCGGTCTGTCTTTTGTCTTTAAAATTATTTATTTGTTTGTTTGTTTGTTTGTTTGTTTATATTAAGAGTTAATTGACATATGACATTATGTTAGTTTCAGGTGTACAACATAATTTGATATTTATGTATATTGTGAAATGATCACAACAAGCCTAGTTAACACCCATCATTGCAGTTATAAATTTTTTTGTAACAAGAACTTTTAAGATCTACTCTTAGCAACTTTCAAGTTGCTTTCAAGTACAGTATTATTAACTACAGTTGTCATGCTGTACATTATATCCCCATGACTTATTTTATAACTGGAAGCTGGTACCTTTTGACCTTCACCCATTTTGCCTACCCCCTTAGGCCCTGCCTTTGTATCGATGAGCTTGTTTTTTATTTATTTATTTTTTTAGATTCCACATATAAGTGAGGTCATATTATTTGTCTCTCTCTGTCTGACTTATTTCACTTAGCATAATACCGTCTAGGTCCTTCCATGTTGTCGCAAATGGCAAGATTTCTTTCCTTTTTTATGGCTGAATAATATTTCATTGTATACGTATACCACATTTTCTTTATCCATTCATCTGTCTCTTAACTTCATTATGGTATCATGTGCTTCTACAAAGCTTTCATTTTGATAGAGTCAAATTGGTTAGACCTTTCCTTTTGTAGTTTCCGTGACTTGTGTTTCGCTTTGGAGGACTTTTTCCACTTCAAGATTACACAAAGATCCTTCAACATTTTCTTGTAGCTCCTTGGTGGGTATTTTATGTTTGGCTCCTTAATTTATCTAGAATTCATTTTTGTGGTGGTGTGAGGTGGGCATCTTGCTTAATTTGGTTTCCAAAAGAGGGTCCCAACTTTACTTAATGAAAAACCCACCCCACTACTACTGCTTTGAAAGGCCACCTTCTTTGTTAGCTCTTTCGAAGGTGACATTCTGAGTCCCAGGACAAACTCAGGGGTTGGAGTCTGTGCTATTGGTGATGAGGGGCTACCACCATGTCTCACAGGGCAGAGGCTGTATTTACAGAGAGAGAGTCCAGGGCAGGGAGAGATGCCAGTCCTTGTCAGCCCCTAGCCAGGCTGCCATGCTGAATCCTGGCCGCTGACCCAGAATCCTGGATGCAAGTGTTCCCAGAGGGCTGGCCCGGGTAGGAAATGGCCTCAGAAGGATGAGGATGTTTGAACTAGAGCAGAGAGGGCTCTGGGGCCATGGCTGCCATCTTCATGTCTCTGGAGGCTCTCAGGGGCTAGGAATGCAGTACTGGGGCCCCTGAGTACAGAGCTGGGACCATGGGTGAAAAGCAGAGAGGACCAACTTTACTCCAGGGAATAGATCTTCCCAACAGTTAGTGTTTCTCCACAGGCTTCTTGGGGCAACAGGGAGCCTCCCAGCTTCCAAAGTATTGAAGAAGACACTGAACAAGGACGCCATTGGGGAAACTCAAGCTTAGGCTGGGGTTGGGCTTGATGGCCTGAAAAGGCTAGGATGCCCTGGTTTTGGCTCATCCATCCTAGTGATAGTTGAACTTTAACAGAGATCTCCTGGGTACCAGAATTTTGCCCCAAAGCATACTTGTAATTATGATATCCCAGGCACTGGCCCACCCACTGCAGGAAAGTCTTTCTGGTTCCCTTCAGTCTCATGCATCAATGATTGCCACTCCGGCCTAGATAGCCTGACTGACCCAGGACTGGACATGTGAGAAATAAGGAATCCAGAGGCCCCTCCCTGAGCGGCCTCATGCTAAACTCTGCCTGTGCCAGCTTCTTCCCACTATTGTGGGAGTAATAAGGATGCAGGCACTCGGGAGTGAGTTATTAGAGATAATGGGCATAGAGTGTCGGGCAATACTTGTGAGCTCTTAAGTGTCAGGCGCACTTAGTGTCACTTGTCCAGTTTTACCCCTTGTTCACTGTATATACAGGGGCACCGAGGCCCAGAGGGAGGGCCCACTGGTGCAGATCTGTGACCCCCAGATGCTCCGAGGGCCGAGGGCATGGTCACACGTGGTCCTGTGCAGAGACAAGGGTGTGAGGGGCGCCTTAGGCTGATGCGGGGGTGAGACGGTTCCTGGCGGGGGAGTGAGCCTCCCTTCTCTTTGCTCTCCTCAGAATCGCCATGACATGCTCTTGGTGGAGCCGCTGAACCGACTCCTGCAGGACAAGTGGGACAGATTCGTCAAACGCATCTTCTACTTCAACTTCTTTGTCTACTGCTTGTATATGATCATCTTCACCACAGCCGCCTACTACAGGCCTGTGGACGGCTTGGTGCGGCCCAAGGCTTAAGCCTTGCTTCAGGGATGGGGAGAGGGGATGGGCATTCTATAAGATCCCCAAGACCTCAGGCCCAGGCCGGGCCCTGGACTCCTTTCCAGCTCACTGGAGAGATAGAAGGATCACCTGAAGATCCTTATATCCCTGTGCTCAGTCCTTCCTCTCAGGGCATCCCGGAGACCCGCCCTCTCATGTTTTAGCCCCTCCTTTAGCCTCCTGGTTCTGTGAAGCTGAAGAGGAGTAGTAGGTTAGAAAGGCTGCAGAATTAGGGCTTAGAAGCAGCCCCCGCCCCCCGGGCTGGGTGTCTGCAGGGTCATGGGATGGCATAAGTCCCAAGTCCATTGCCATCCTGCTTGACTGCCCATTTTTGTTCAGTCACTCATTATTCATTCCCTGGACGTATACGTTTGAGTACTCCTTTGCCAGGCCCTGAGCCATCCATGAAATCATCTTAAAAACAGACTTCTTCCTCTCCCAGGAGCCATGGACTCCCTTGAGTTTCTGAATTAAGTCCTTCCCATTAAATACCCAAACACTTAATTTGCTGCTTTTATTTCCAAGGTGCCTTGCTTGCAAATTTGATTTTAAAACTTAACTTCCTAGTTAGGTGAAACCTGATCTCTGTCCACCTATTAAGGCCATTTAACGAGTTCATTTTAAGAGAAAAGAGGAACATGCTAATGAGATAGGCTAGTGAACTAGTGCTTATGAAACATTGATGGTAGGCTAAAAGGAAATCCACTTCAGAAAATGGTGGCTGAAACACAAGAACAACACACACATGTGCAGGACCTCTCTCCCTCTACTGTCCATGGGAAACCTCTACAGCTTGGGGAGACCAGGGTTCACCATAAGCTGTGGGAGCAGCAGGAAGCGTGTGGCATTGGGTCTGTAAGAGTGCCTCCATCTATGCTATCACCCTCCTCCCAGCAGAACTCTGGAATGGGACATTGTTCAGAAGGCAGCATAATGCTGTAAGGATGCTCCGCTTGGCACCTGGAGGCTGCCACTTTGGGAATCAGGCCCCACAGAGGGGCCTCCATGCAGGTGTCCCCTTAATAGTGCATTATCTTTCTCTCTCTCCCCTCCCCTCCCCTCCCCTCCCCTCCTCTCTTCTCCTCTCCTCTCCTCTCTTCTCCTGATGGTGGCTGAGCCTCTAGGGCAGGGTTTGGGTCTTAATCACAGGGCTTGGCATCTGGTAAATGTTTGGCAAATGAATCAATGAGTGAATGGAGTCACTAATTTCTGTACCTTGCAGCCTCCCTATGAGCTGAAACACACCGGCGACTATTTCCGAGTTACTGGAGAGATTCTTTCTGTATCGGGGGGAATCTACTTCTTTTTCCGAGGGGTAAGCATTCTTTCCTCCACCATGAGTTTCCACTGCCACCAAAACAAAAAGGCAGAAGACTCACTCAGTGCTCACTCACTGTTGAATTCATTGGACAGGTAAGACAGGTAATGGCCCTGCTTGAGGGGCTGAGAGATGCACAGGTGCAGATAAGAGCCCTCCAGGCATTTGCTTTTGGGGGAATGGGGGGTCCACCCAGTGGGTCCCATAGGCACTCATTCTTGAAGACAGGCAGTCAGGGCTTCCCGCTGAAAGTACTATTTAACTACAGAAGTAGAGGGGAAGCCTCTTAAGAGAGGATTATGACTGGTAGTTGTTTAATTAATCAGAACAGTCCATTAAAGCTCAGGATAATGAAAGAAATCTATCCGTATACTGGAACCATTTTATTTTAACTGAAAACTCATAGATGCACAATCCTTGACCGTTTTCTAATATATGGGCAGTCTTTGAATGTGGGGCCGCTGTTACATGTATAAATAATTAAGATTATTGTGATTATTTTCCCTTAATCTTTTTGATCTCAGCTATACCTAATTTTTTTTTTTTTTAGTAATTTGCTTTTAAGGAGTCTTTCCAAATCATTGCCCTTTATCTTCACGGAAACAATTGTCTTTATTTTTGCACTCGTAGTCTATATTATAACAAAGTACAAAGTACAAAGCCACAGTAGTAAGTGCAATGGGCTTAAAGCACTCTTGGCAAACACAGGATTAACAGGTGAGAGGCTGGCGCAGAGTGTGTGGGTGGCCTGGAGAGGGTCTCCTAGCCGCCAGCGTTCTGCGGGGCTGTGGGCATCCCTCAGAATGTTTTCAGGGAGTGGAGAGCACTGGCTAACCTGGTAAGTTTATCAGTGGAGGCTGATTAAAGAATTTTTACTGTAATGCATACTTAAAGAAAATTAGGAAAAAAAGCACAAATTAGAAAGAAGAAAAAAATTGCTCAATCCTATCATTGAAGCCCAGCAATTGATAACATTTGATTTTCTTTCCTGTCTTTACTTGTGGGTATGGTTGTCACTGCACTCTCTATTTTAAAAAATCTCTCCTGAGTCACATAACATTACCCCATTAGTCTCACCCATGCTGTTCCACTCTCTTCATAATCTCTGCTTTGACACACTCCCGTGGTCCATCACGGTGCCATTTAGGAAGCATTCCAGGCGCTCACCTCTTAGCCACATCTAATCTTTCTTGGGATCTTACTCTGTCTGTTTACCTGCAGATTCAATATTTCCTGCAGAGGCGGCCATCACTGAAGGCTTTGTTTGTGGACAGCTACAGTGAGATGCTCTTGTAAGTGACCCTTTGACTCCTATGCCTCCGTAGCAGACCTCATCTTTTGCCGTAGTCCTGAGGTTACAGCAATCAGCTCTCGCATTCTCTCATACATACCAGGTCTGGAATGTAGTAGGACCTCACAAACATGTTGAATAAATGATGGAAGGCACTCAATAAATGTTTGGTGGGTGAGTGAGGGTCTACTCTGTGCCAGGTATGAACCAGGTGCTAGGGGATGCCATACCTGTTTCACAGGCTCATGTGGTTTATAGTCTAAGTTAGATATACCCTTGTTTGTTTTTTTGTCCATCTGTCTGGCATTCACTGACTTGGCCCTGGAATACAAGATAAAATAGACAAGGTTCCTGCCTTTAAAGAATTTCCAGTCTTTAGGGCAGAGTTTCTCAACCTTGGCACTATGGACATTTTGGACAGGATAATTCTTTGTTGTGGGGGGCTTTGTAGAATATGCATTGTAGAATGTTTAGCAGTATTCCTGGCCTGTACCCACTGGATGCCAGTAGCACTCTCCCTGTCCCCCAGTCTTGGCAATCAAAAATGTCTCCAGATGTCCCCCACTTGAGAAGGGTACAAAATCACCCCTGATTGAAAATCATTGCTTTAAAGGGAGACAGTTTAATAAAAACACACTTATAAAAACAATGTGGAAGTCACAGGGAATCTCTTCCTACATGAAATAAACCTCATGAGGTTCCCTTTGGAAGGCCCAGGATACAGAGGGGGCTTTCAGATGGGGAAGGGTCCTTCTCCTGCAATCTCAACTCATGACCTCTACTCTGATCCCCAGCTTCCCCCCATTCCTGGGGCCTCTCTCTTTATTCCTGGCAAGTGCAAGGAGTTGATTTCTCACCCTATTGCAGCTAGCTTGTCCCTAGGACTCACAAACCCCATCCTTGTATTGTAATCTTGAGGTACTTACACTTTAGCCCCAAAGGGCAAATTCAAGAGCAGGTGTATAGGGTTAGCACAATGCTGATTTGCTTTATTAAGAGCGGTGGTGTTCTCCTACATAGTGTTGCGCCAATAAACTTGATTCTATTCCTAGGAAGACCCACTGTGGGTATGTTACAAATTTTTAAATTTAATGTTTCAAAGCTACCCATGGGTGAAAATGTAAAGAGTACTAAAAAGCTAATAGCCAATGTAGGAGTTCCCCATCCCAACTCCTCCCGTTCCCTGCAACCCTCCTTCCCAGGGACAATCCCTTTTCCATTCTTGTAGCTTTTTCCCCCCCTGACATTTATGCACTGGGTAGATGAGGATTTAGCATCTGTATACTGCCTTCCCCTCTGCGTTCCCTCCTCTAGCCTTCCAATATGGTTTGTAATAATTTTTGTTTTAATCAATATTCAATATTTACATTCTTATATCTCTGTAAATTTTATTTGCAGTTGAGCTTCACAATATACTATATTTCTTTTCTGTTTCTCTTAAAGTTAATTATTACCTTGTTTTCTCTTGCTGAGTTTTCTTCATACTCCCTGTTAATTCTTCCCACACATCTTGAAGCCTCTCAGTACAAATTTCCTCAAAAATCAATGACATAATTTATGCAATGATGTCCCCCAATTAGTCTAGTACTCACCTGGCTCTATACATAGTTGTTGCAACTTTATTGACTACAATACCTACGCTGTACTTTACATCTCCATGGCTATTTTGTAATTATCAATTTGTATTTCTTAATCCCTTTACCTTTTTTTCACCCAGCTCCCCAGCCTCCTTTCCCTCTGGCAACCATCAGTTTGTTCTCTGTATCTATAAGTCTGTTTCTGTTTTGTTTGTTTATTTTGTTCCTTAGATTCCACATCTAAGTGAGATCAGGTGGTATTTGTCTTTCTTTATGCTGTACACATGGAACTAATATAAAATAATATTAAATGTCAACTGTAACTAAAAAAATTAATTAAAAAACATATTTAAAAAGCCCCATAAAAACCTTCCAATAAAGAGAAGGCCAGGACCAAAAAAAAAAAAATCACTGACATAAATTATATGATCAGATCTCCCTTTTTATTTTTTTTTCCTTGAAAGATTTCACCTGGAGCACTGTCCTCTTTTTCTAACTGGCCTGGTTGTCCTCTGAGTCTACTGCTTAGCTGTCATCCTGGGACTTCTTTTTGCTGTCAGCCTTGGAATTCTCATTGCTCCCCTCCCACGTTAGAGTTCCTGTCTCTTTCTTGATGTCCCCCCTTGTTTATTTGAGCACCTCATTCAGTATTTTCATCTGGTGAAAAAGTTGGTGTAATAGTAGAGGGCACAGTGATGACAGCTTTTACTAGACCTGATTCTTGAGTTACGTTGCTCACATATGTACTTCCAAGGTTTCATCCCTTCTTCACGAGCACTTTGGACGCCCTTTTTGCTTCTCTGCTGAGTTGTATTTCTTATTTTTTGAACGTTATATATTCCTCTTTCCTGATTTATTTCCTTTTTGGAGGGGAGGACATGCTCAACCAGAGAAAGAAGCCACATAGTGGGAAAGGGAGACGTAAAATTTCTTATAAATCTGGCATACTTGAAAATATTTCTACTGTACCTTCGCATTTGATTGATATAGATTGGTTGGTTATAAAATTATTTCTAAAATTTGAAGCTATATCTCCATTGTTCCCTTGCTTCCAGTATTATATATTAAAGCCACTTTAATTTTGAATCCTCTTTAGAGACCTGTTTTGGTTTTTCTCTTCATAAATCTATAGTATCTTCTTTTTTCTCCCTAGTATTCCAAAACTTGTGTCTTGATTTAGGTTTGTTTTTATCCAATGTTCTGGGCACTTAGTGGGCTCCTTCAATCTGGAAATTTATGTTCTTTATTTTTGGTATATTTTCTTGATCTCTCTTCTGGAACTCCTATGATTTGTATATAGGCCTCCTGACCTAATCCTGAACTAGTTCTTACATTTTCTCACTTGTGTTCTATCTCTTTATCTTTGGCTCTTTCTGGGAGATTCAAATCAACTTTAATTTCCAAATCTTCTATTGAGTTTAATATTTCTGATACCATGTTTTTATTTCTAAGTGCTCTTTAAAAAAAATCTGTCTTTTCTTTATTTATAGCACTCTATTCTCATTTCATGGATGCAATATCTTCTTTTGTCACTCTAAGGCTATTAAGATAGTTTTTGGTAAATTTTTCTTCTTTGGCATAGTTTTTGTTTTCTCCAAGTTGTTTCCCATTTGCTTGTTTTGTTCTCTCTTTCACGTTAGAGGCTATCCTCAGGATATCTGGAACATTTTTTTTTAAAGATTTTATTGGAGAATTAGGGGAGAGGAACAGCATTGGGGAATTGGGGAAGGGGAACAGACAAGTTGCTGTCTTTTTTGTTCTTCAGTCTAGTTGTGGGGGGACATCACTTCACTGGCCCATGTTGGTATTATCATTGCGCTCTTTCCAGGTGAGGCAGATTGGTCGCCAGCCACTGGACGGCCGCTCACGGCGGCTCTTGCCAGCTCACACTGGCTGCCGGCCACTCATCCTGGCTGCTGGCCACTCTCGGTAGCTTACGGCAGCCCACTGCAGCTCCACTGCAGCCTACACTGGTAGTGGCAACTCACGGCAGCCCAGCTCCAGGTCGAGCTGTTGTTCACCATCTTAGCTGTAGAGGGCGCAGTGTCACTGGCCCTAATGTGGGATCTGAACTGGGCCCTGCTGCTCAGAGCTGGTGTCCCAAGCCAACTCTTAACCAACACGCCATTCGGCCAGCCTCTGGAAATCTTTGATGTCTGCTCATGAGTAAGAGTGGAGGACTGAAAGCTGGTTGGACACTCTTAATGTGTGAATGGGGCTTATCAATTTTGAGCTTCACTATAGGTTATTCTAGATAAACCATTTATTGAAGACTATCCAAATTCAGTCTTTTGCATTTTTTCAATCTTCTACCTGGAGGGAAGAAGTCTGGCTGCCAGCTTTCTGAGAGCCTAGTGGAGAAGAGGGCTTTTTGTAATCTATGTTGTATAAAAATCACATCGTCTCCTGTTTTTGGTAAAATACCAATGTTTTCACTGGTATTTGATAAAACTGTGTCCAAAGACCCTCTGTTTTATCCTCTTCAGAGACAAAACCTCCACTCTTTCTTATTTTTGGTCACCTCCCCTCCAGAGGTCCTTAAGCCTTTTGAGACTCCTTGATTAAAAGAGTTGGTTCTCAGCTTTCCCCACTACGATTCAGATTTGGCTTTCTTGGATCTGCTAAGTCAGTTATCATTTCTCGGCTGCTTCCCACCTTCCAAAATTCATGTGTGGGTGCTCCATTTGCCACCCAAGGCAAGCCTTTACCTGTTTCAACTGCCATCAGTTCTTCTTTTGGCCAAGGTTCTGCAAATGCAGAGGTTTTTCTTTGCAGCAGAACTCTTGTTGATGAGCCAGTTTATTGACATCAGTTTTTAATAGACTCGCATCAGCACAGTGGCAGCTTTTGGCTGGGTTCTCTCACACAAATAGGAGGTGAGGCGGTCAGTGTGGTCTGCTGTGTTAATTCAGCTGGAGGGTCTCTCAGAAGGGAGCCATGCTGAACAAAGAGGCCTAGCTAGGACACATAAGTAAAGCAGGGACCACTGAGCGTTCCCTCTTATAGGATTGTCCAGATGTCCTCCACCCTGTGTAGGTCTCCGACTTGGACAGCCCCGCTGGACTGAGGAGCTGAAGGACATTTTCTCTGGCTCTGCTCCTGAGTTTGAGGGTGTGACCAGCAGACTCTACCTGTGGTTTCCCAGGAGACCATGACCTGTCCCTCCTCACGGGCCTAAGCCCTTCTAGATTTTCTGTTGTCCATGAGGCTATTTTCCTGGGGACTTGGAAGGAAGGTTCTTGGGGCTAAAACAGTGTTGCTCAGTCTTTTTTTCATTATGCCTTTTAAAACAATTTTTTTCCAATTGCCCTGCCCATGAAATTCTAATGCCACAAATAAACTGTAGAGCTGTTTATGAACTATATTTATATCTGTGCTTTATGTATATAGAGAATAGGGTTTTGCACCCCCAGAACCAATATTTGCCCCCTTGGGGGCAATATTGCTCCCACTGAGAATCATGGGATAAAGGAGGCTGGCCGGCCAGCCCTAGCTCCCACCTTGGCCTGCTGTCTGTCTCTGAGAGGCCCAGACAGCTGGCATCTTCCTGTCTGTGGGGGTGCCAGGCCTCCCAGGTGATCTTAGACAGAGCTTCCTGTCCCACCATCCTCAGCTTTGTGCAGTCACTGTTCATGCTGGGGACCGTGGTGCTGTATTTCTGCCATCGCAAAGAGTACGTGGCCTCCATGGTGTTCTCGCTGGCCATGGGCTGGACCAACATGCTCTACTACACCCGCGGCTTCCAGCAGATGGGCATCTATGCTGTAATGATCGAGAAGGTGAGTGCCAGGGCCTCAGTGGGTCCTCCACACAGCCCGTTTACCTCATGGGTCTGTGGGATCCCGTCCCACAAACTACCATGCTCTCTGGATTGCCTGGGGAGGTGCGAGGTTAGCTCAAGACCCACTTTTCCAACGAATTCCTCAAGAATCAGGCAATCTGGCCTTGACTTAGGTTTGGTGGCTACCCTAAAACTTGACTCCCCCTACATAGCAGGCCCCCTCTCTCACCAGAACAAAAGTCATAGGGGGAGCTGTGGATGACTCCCTCCTAACCTGAGTGGCAAACCACCAAATCAAACCTCCCTACATGTTCTCAGATTCCACTTGGGCTCAAGGTTAACCCCTAGGCTGACATAGCCCTGGCCCTTCCCTTGGCCCTGCCTTGACTTGGTTCTGACAAGCCTGCTCTCTCCTGCAGATGATCTTGAGAGACCTGTGTCGCTTCATGTTTGTCTACCTTGTTTTCTTGTTCGGGTTTTCCACAGGTAATGGGGCTTGGTCAGGGCTGGTGGGGGGAAGGGCTCTTGCTCACTTCAGCTGCCTGAGGACTCTGCAGGGGCTGGGTGGGGAGGGGCTCAGTGGGGTGTGTGTCTGCAGATGGCAGTGGATGGACACAGTACACAGCAAAATGAGCAGGAGAACCTGGAAATGTTATTTATAAAGTGTTTTAAGTAATTTTGGGAGTAGGAAGTGCTGCTTGCCTGTAGGATAGCTATATTTTGGCTGAGGTTTTTAAAGAAAACTTTTAATTTTGACGTTATTTTAGATTTACAGAAAAGTTGCAAGAATAGTACAAATAACTGTGTATACCCTTTTATCCAGGTTCCCCCAATTTTATCACATTTTTATTACTTTCTTTCCCTGCTATACACAAAACAAACACACACACACACACACACGCACAAACACACCACACACAATTAAAAAAAACTGAGAATAAGTTTTTTATGATTAGACATGACCAGCCCCTTAACACTAAATATTTCAGTGTGTATTTCCTAAAAAACATGGGCATTCTCTTACATAAACACAGTATAATGATCAAAATCAGGAAACTAACATCAATACAGTACTATTAGCTAACCTACCAAACTTATTCAAATTTCACCAATTGCCCTAATAATGTCTTTTATAAAAATGAAAATCCCAGATCATGCATTATATTCAGTTGTCATGCCTCTTTAATCTCCTTCAATCTGGAGCAGTTCCTCCATCTTTCGTTGTCTTTTGTGACCTTAGCATTTTTAATGAGTAAAGGCCAGTTTTTAGTTTTTACAATGTCTCTCAATCTGGGTCTGTCTGATGTTTCCTCACAATTAGATTCCGGTATGCCTTTTTGGTCAGAATATCAAGGAAGTGATGTGTGTCTTCCTCAGTGCATTATATCAGGAGTCCCACAATGTCGGTTTGTCCCATTTGTGGTGATGTTAGCTTTGATTATTTGGCTTTGGTGGGTCTGCCAGATTTTTTCACTGTCAAGTCATTATCTTTCCCTTTGTGATTGATAAGTAATTTGTGAGGAGATGCTTTGAGATGCTTTGAGGCTATGTAAACATCCTGTTTCTCATCAAACTTTCACCCAATCATTTTAGCATCCACTGATTGATTATTTGCTCCTGGATCACCCAATCTTAATGGTTGACAAATGATGATTTTCTTCTTGTTTTTTTTGGGGGGGTGGGGTGGGGTGGGGAACAGTGTGTTTCTCCAGGACCCACCAGCTCCAAGACAAGTAGTTGTTTCAATCTAGTTGTGGAGGGCGCATCTTAGTAGGCCATGTGGGGATCGAAATGGCAACCTTGGTGTTATGAGCGCTGCGCTCTAACCACCTGAGCGACCCGGCTGTCCTTCAAATTATTTTCTAACTCCCTCATTCCTTCTGTATTTATTTGCTGGCATTGTATTGCCATTCCATTCTCCCTCATTTATTTATTTACATAAATATATCTCATAGATTCCTTTTTTGTTTTTGTTTTTTCCTGGATTCTCACTTTGTTAAATGGGCCGTAACTCCTTACTATCATCATCTATTTTGATGCTCAAATTGTGTGAGCAATCATCATTGGGAGCCCCTTGTGGCTGGCTCCTGTGCCCTTTTGACACATCCATGTAACTTTTTGAGCACCTGGCTCTGCTTTGATCCCCATCTGAGTCCTGCAGTTACATGGTCCACATGGCAGACCCTCTGCCTATTTTGGCATCTCTGTCGGGGAGTCATGGACAGCTTTTTTTTTTTTTTAAAGATTTTTATTGGAGAATTGGGGAGATGGGAACAGCGCTGGGGAATTGGGGGAAGGGGAACAGACAAGTTGCTGTCCTTTTGTTCTTCAGTCTAGTTGTGGAGGGCG